ATCGGTTTCAAGTTGAAGTTGAATGAATGTTAGTTGATTAGATTCTTTAAAAACAATTGCCAGTTATTTATTCATGAATTAAGAAGTACGAAAATTAGAACCAAAGTTGTTTACACTGTGTTCATTAGTTATATATTTCGCAAACAAGTAATTTTATAATTTGATACACAGCCATGTCTGCTTTGCGATTGAGAATAATTGGTTATTCCACATTATGTTATAAGAGGTTATTATTCAATTCGATAAATCATGTCAAATGCCTTTCTAGCCTCTCTGCTTGTAACACAACCTTTAAGCAGCAGACCGGTAAGTTTTCTCTAAACATTATTTAAGTAGGAAACTATTAAGTTTCTTTTAACTCTGTAAACGTAGTGATATACTAAACAGTTTGAACAGATGCAACGAAAACGCCGGCAGTTTTGTCGCTTCTGTTATTTTTGCAATTTCATTTAGAAATAAAGATAAACTGATTCAATTAGATTGAAAAAAGAAACCTACTTCATTTTTAGGCTTGTACCTACAAAATTACCACCCAGTGAGATACTCCAGTGCTGCTGTAGAGAATCAAGCCGAAGCTCCTAAAACTACCTCATCCAAATCAAAAGAGACATTGAAAGGATCATCAGAAAAACGTGAATTCCAAGCTGAAACTCGTATGCTACTTGACATTGTAGCTAGGTCTCTATATTCTGATAAAGAAGTCAGTATAATATTCATAATTCTTAATCTCATCACATAGATTGTACTTTAATTAAACTAACAATAAAAAACTTTAATCCCTCAGGTTTTTATCAGGGAGCTGATCTCAAATGCCAGTGATGCGTTAGAAAAGTTCCGTTATTTGAATGTCAGCTCAGCTCCAGATGCTTCGAAACTGCTTGAGACAGACAGACCTCTAGAAATCAGACTATCCACTGATAAACAAAATAGAACACTAACTTTCCAGGTATCATGATAACAAAGTTCTAAAGTATCAAAAGTTAGTCAAAATCATCTATTTTATTTGAAATTGCACTTTTTCAGGACAGTGGCATTGGTATGACAAAAGATGAGCTCACTCAAAATCTAGGAACTATTGCCCGCTCTGGATCCAAGTCTTTCATTGAAGAGATCAAAAAGCAGGGCAAAGACCAGGCCAACTCTATAATTGGACAGTTTGGTGTGGGCTTCTATTCTGCTTTCATGGTGGCTGATAGAATTGAAGTTTATACCAGAAGCAGTGTTGAAGGGTCCCAGGGCTACAAGTGGCATTCAGATGGGTAAGTTATAATTTGTATTCAATTTGGCAGACGAGTAGATAAATTCAATGCACATTTGTTTTACCAAAGCATTTATTTGTTATCTCTATGATTGCATAATGTATTAATAATTACCTAACAAGTTCATTTTATATTTTTATCATGTATTATGTAAGTTATACACATTTCATGTGTAAAAATAAGTTAGTAATAATTCTTATCTAACTAACTCGTTTCCTTATTTATAGATCTGGAGTTTATGAAATTCAAGAAGCAGATGGTGTAGCCATTGGAACAAAAATAATTGTTCACCTAAAGACAGAATGCAGAGAATATGCAGATGATGAAATAGTTAAAAGTATGTATTAAAACAACATATTAATTGCAGATTTTCTTGTAATAATGCAATTTAACTCGTTGAGTAAATTTATTTATAACAATTAATGAACAATAGGTTGCGGTCACCAGTGACCGCTTGGTGTATGACAGTTTAAAGGGTAATAAATCTATTTTCTTTTTTCAGATATCATTAAAAAGTACAGCAATTTTGTGAGCAGTCCTATCTTCTTAAATGATGAACAAGTCAATCAGATTAAGGTATTATTACATTAACTTTTAAATAAATTACATAATTCCTCTAACATGGCATTTACCTAAATTATTATTTTTCAACAGCCTCTTTGGTTGATGGAGCCAAAAGATGTAACACATGAGCAACATGTTGAGTTCTACAGATACATCAGCCAGTCTTATGACAAGCCGAGATATACTCTGCACTATAAGACTGATGTTCCACTCAGTATCAGAGCTATACTGTATGTACCTGAAGGCAAACCAGGACTGTTTGAACTTTCCCGCGACTCTGACGTAGGTGTAGCATTGTATTCCAGGAAGATTCTCATCAAAAGCAAGGCTGAGAACATATTGCCAAAGTGGCTAAGATTTGTTAAAGGTTTGTGAATTATTATTCCTGCTGAAAATAATGACTACAAATTGTCTAGGCAAAATGGAGTCTACTCTACTAATACTAATTAATTAAATTTTCGTTATATTATGTAAATGTAATAATTTTGTGTTCTAGGTGTTGTGGATTCTGAAGACATTCCATTGAACTTAAGTAGAGAGCTTCTACAAAATAGTGCTCTTATTGTGTAAGTTTGTTATTTTTAACAGCAATAACATTACTAAATAGTAATTTACACATAAACTTGTTAGTTGTAAGGTGTTCAATAAATAATTTACGTAATTTTCCAGAAAACTGAAGACTGTGTTGACCAACCGTTTCCTTAAATTCATGATTGATACATCCAATAAAAATCCATCAGAATTTCAAGCATTTTACAAAGAATACTCTATATTCCTGAAAGAAGGAATTGTTACTAGTCAGAGTGCTATTGAAAAGGTAATTTAAACATAAAAGACCTGTTCTGTTAGCATAATTCATAAATTTATATCTAATTATGTTATTCTATTACTTCCAGGAGGAAATAGCTAAACTGCTTAGGTTTGAGTCCTCAAAACTACCAAATGGACAAAGAACTTCTCTCAGTGAGTATGCAACAAGACAAAAAGAAGACCAGAGAACAATATACTATTTAGCGGCACCTAGGTTTGTAAACACTTTTTCATAATTGTTAAAGGCACTATATAAGTTAATAATAGGTATTGTGGGTAAGTTCCATTGTCAATATGTAAAATATATATGTTATGATATTTATTTATAAAGCTTTATGTATATAAAAGTTGGGGATAACAAAAACAAATGAAGTATAGATTTTTTTTATACTTAATAGGTTGATGTTTGGCCACCATCTTGCCTGGTGATTGCTGAAAATGCAATATATTTTGTTCTTTACAGTCGCGAACTGGCTGAATCTTCACCATACTTCGAGTCACTTAAAAAACGCGACGTGGAAGTATTATTCTGCTATGAGATGTATGACGAACTTGTACTATTGGAACTGAAGGAGTTTAACAACAGGAAACTCGTCTCCATCGAGAATGACATGCAAACTAAGGCTACAGAGGAATCAGATGATATTATTGGTAATAATTCACTAATTTTATTGTAATTTGTGGCATAAACCTATTAAGCCCTATACTATAGTATAACGAATATAAACTTAGCGATAAAATTAAGGAAAGGAGACACAATTTAATTTTAAATTATTTATTACCAGGCAGTGACGCCCTACAGCAGTCTCAAGTGGATGAAGTTATTACCTACCTAAAGTCTCATTTGGCTGGCAAAATATTTGATGTGAAAACAACATCGAAGTTGGAAACACATCCGTGTGTTATCACTGTACAAGAAATGGCAGCAGCTCGACACTTCATTCGCACTCAAGCTCAAAATCTTAGTGAAGAAAACAGATTTGCGCTTCTAAGGCCACATCTAGAAATAAACACAAAGTGAGTATTTCTACATTACCCTTTGAAACTGAAAACTATTTTAGTGATACAACTACTAACATTATTGCTGTTTTTGCTTTTAAAAGATATCAGAAAAGCACGAAATCAAAATTACTGCTATTTTACATTAATTACTGATAAATTATCACGCTTCTTTTTCAGGCACCCTATAATCAAGAAACTTCATAAACTGATGTCATCTGATCCAGAATTAGCCAAAATGATTTCTGAACAACTGTTTTCAAATGCCATGGTCACAGCTGGACTTATACTGGACCCAAGGAATTTAATTGTTCATATTAATGAACTTCTAGTTAAAGCTTTAGACAAGCATTAGATTTTTATTGTTAAAATAATAATTTAATGATTTATTATAAAGATTTATGTTATGTACTTACCAAATGGTTTAGATTAAATTTTCTTTTTTTTTTCTATTGTTATTTTGTAGTTTTATTTTGAAGCACATAATAGCTGAAAACTAAAATAATGATACAAACCTTTGAATGAAACCGCCCCACACGCTGTTTTATGTTATACAAGGTTTCATGCAATTTTACTACATGGTTGGTGGCGTAGTTCTCTATGCCTGCCTCGTTGGCCGAGTGGTCGCAAGTGCGACTGCCGAGCAAGGGGTCTCGGGTTCGATTCCCGGGTCGGGCAAAGTATTACTAGGTTTAAAAAAAAAACTCAGTAGTAGCACGGAGTCTAGAATTGTGCCCGGTATATGGCAATAGGCTCACCCCCTATTACATGGAACTCGTAACATAATTATAAGTTGTAGTCAAAGTATGCTCACTAAGAGCATAACGTACAAATTCTAATAGATTATACTGAATTAATAATAACATGTAGTTCGTTTTCCCTTGACCTCCAAGTCATTTAGCTTACATTAGTTAATTCAAAGGTGTGGCCCGACAGGCGGACAAGTCCATTCCAGAAATTGTATATGAAATGACTACCAATAATTAGCTTTTAATAAATTAATAGTTTTCCATTGCCACGCACAAATATTAATATTGGTCAGACTCAAATATTAATGAAACGAATCGGTCGAATCACAAATAGAAATCAAGTGCGGCTGGCGACAGCGTTTTAAGTACGTTACGTACTTTGGGGATTGTGACGTTGTATTATTTTATATAATAAAAAAGAATTAACGTTTAAATTAAATTAACAGCAATTAAAGCACGTAATGCACATTCAATAATTTATAAACATGATGATGAAGTGAATTTCTTTGTAAAACGAAGTGTTGTAACGAGATATAATATATTGAACGCAACGTTGATTACTGCATAACGTAAAAAAAAAAATAAGTTTGAACGCAGCGTCACCGGCGCGTAAGTAAGCTTGCTTGGTTGCTGTTTCTACTTGCGGCATTTTTATGGCGGCTTTTTATTAAAAATAAAAACTACAAGTAATTTAAGAGTTTATATGGTTTTGTTACTGTGGTTGCGTACTATTTAATTATTTCCTATGATACATCTTATTCAAGTGAGTACTTAATTTAATATTTGTGTGTTATTTATTCGAGAGGCTTGTTTTTATTTCAAAGGTGTTTTTCTATTTCTATACCTCCACTAATCATGAAATATATCACGGATTGATTTATTCAAAGCTAAATTTATCAGTGGAACTTGTAATTTATGTTGAGAATGGAGAAGTAGCAATAATTTGCACGAGTCGACATACATAATGGTGCTAATCCTACCGTAGCGGAACAGGGCTTTGTGTGAGACGAATAAATAAATGAAACAATTTTGACGTGTGCAGGTATGAGCACCATGGATATAAATAAAGTGGAATATGAGGAAGACAATAAAACTATGGACAAGAAGCAAATTGAGGCTGAGGAGAAGGAAGTGATGCTAAAAGCTGAGGTGGAAAACATCGAGCCTGCGGAGTTGAAGCACGATGACGGGCCTGTGAAGACGGCCTTGTCCGGCGACCTCACGGAGATGGGCCGTGAAGTGAAACCGAAATTTATACCTATTGGGGCTATCAAAATGCCTGGATTCTTCACGAAAAATTCAGACAAAGATAAGTCCAAGGTAAATATCAAATTTTTATTGTTATTCATTTAAAAGCTTTGATTTGAAGTAATTGAAAGTGTCCACAATTTATTATGGTAAATGTAAAAAATATTAAAGAATCTTTGTATATCTCCAGAATATTGGATAATGCTATTAACCCCTTTAATAGATAAATGCATGTGACACAGTGCCATTATATTAATAATAATTAATTTACTACAGGATGAAGAGGCAGCTATTGAAAAAGATACAGAGAATGAAAAGACTGATGACTCCAAAGTCAAGGAGAATCGTTTCCAATTTCTACAGAAATTCACAAAATTTTTGCAACATCAGGATAATGAAAATGGTGGTAAGTTATTTTTTGTGTATTTTTTTTAAAGGGGGAAAATCATCGAATGACTGCTCCCCGCGTGGGTGAGGTGGGAGAGAGTGTCAGACTCTCACTGACTAAAAATCACCCTGTTCCTTCTCTTGCACTTCGAGCTGGAGCCCCGGTAACCCGTTAGGTTTTCCGTGACATTTTGTGTGTATAGTATATAATAATTAATCCAAAATTATTGAGTTTAGTCCTCAAATCAATGTATTTAAGTATCTATATTTCCATATTCTTTTCTTATGTCCATATAGTCTGATATACTGGTTGTATATGTCTCAAGAGACTGTTTTCATTTGCTTATGATACAGCGCAGACTTAATACTGATTACATGGAAAATCTTTATAGTGATAACTAGTAGCAATTTGATTTAAAATTCTACTCCTGGGCGGTGCCATCCACTGCTCAGCTTCGATTGGTAGTAGCATGATTTTTTATAGCCTATTGCCTTCCTTGATAAATGGACTATCCAACAAATTATTCAATTCAAACCAGTAGTTCTCAAAAATAGCACATTCAAACAAATTAACAAACTCTTCAACTTTATAATATAGATGAAAAACATAAATGAAGTGTATACTTAATCATTTCGATTCTGCATTGTGACTAATATATCTAACTGTAGACAAACAGCAACAGTTCAAAGTTTTAGTCTAACTAAGATGCAAAATAATCAAGAGAACAAAATAAATTCATGTGTATGTGTTTTAGAGGAAAAAGACAAAGATCGCAAAAGAGGTTTATTTAACATCAGATATCCAAGGGTTTTCCAAAAACGTGGCAGTGCCCCAAATAATGAAGCAACTCTTGCCTCTATGGAAACTTTGGATGACAAGCTGGATACACCTAATGATGGCATGGAAACTGTGAAACTAGAACCTGCTGTAAGTTGGACCTAACATATTATTTTTAATTTGCCTAAATCTAACTGCAAAGCATCTTATTTTTAAGTTAATAATAGAATTACAAAAAGAGTTACTAGTTGCTATTATCTTACTTCAAATATTCACTATTATAGAGTAAACTGGAGAGATGAGTTCTTTAATCAAATAACAATAGTTTATCAATCCCCTACTTGTACAATAAACTTAAATTGCTACAATTGATGTCCAAAGCTACATTATACAATATTAATGTATGTATTATTACTCGCTTTCCAGCCATGAAACATAATAATGTGTTTATTATATTATGAATGTAGGTATCTATTATTTATGTTTGTATTTTATAGGAAATCGAAGAAGGTAAAGTAGCCACCAAACTTCCGTTAAAGGAGAGGATTCGCCAAAAGAAATTTATCATAGGTAAACAAAATATTTTATTATTTTATAAATAATTCTATTCTAAGATTTTCAATCAGTCCTGTAATATATAATTTTTTTTATTGCAGATGATATTGTCGTAGTTGGAATAGTAGTGCTAGTCCTGATAGCAGTTATCATCGGTATCATAATCGGCGCTAACGCAGGACCACCGGTTGAACGACCTCTACGCCTTGGTCGCTATATCACCACTTTCACCAGCTGTGGACCTGTCGAAGGGTATGTGTTTGTATAAATGATGTCATATTTGGTAATATGTTCCATGATATTTTTTAATTTTTGATATTTTTTTACAGTATTCTGGATGAAGGAGTTTACAAATTCTTCAGTATTCCCTATGCTAAGCCACCAGTAGAAAATAACAGATTTAGTTATGCTCAGCCCTTAAATAACATATCATCTTGCTGGAATGGAACTTACGACGCGCGCGCAAAAGGTCCTCTTTGTATACAATTTTTAGAAAATGCTACAATAACTGGTGAAGAAGATTGTCTGACACTTGATGTGGTCACCCCTCACGTGAGATACGATTCGCCATTGCCAGTTGTGGTTTTGATTGGAGCAAATACCTTAGCTGGTGGGATCAGTCCTGCTCAACCTTCTGCCTTGTATGCTCGCACAAAAGAAGTAGTTTTTGTACGTCCTAATTTTCGACTTGGTCCTCTTGGATTTTTAGCTCTTGATATTTTGTCAAATAGCAGGTACCCTCATACATCAGGCAATTATGGACTTAGCGACTTGTTCATTGCATTGAAATGGGTTCGTTTGAACATTAAACATTTTGGAGGCGATCCCGAATCTGTTACTTTGTTGGGTCACCGCGCGGGAGCTACATTGACCGCTGCTTTGACTACTATTAGTCAGGCTCATAAGTTGTATTCACGGGTGTGGCTATCCTCTCCATCTGTTATCTTCCCTGGTGAACCACTAGAACAATCTCAAAAATTAAATATCAGGTTCAAAGAAATGACTAAATGCAACGATGTCGATTGCTTGCGCCAAATTTCAACTACAGAAATCCTAACACCAGATTTTTGGCTTGAAAATTACATAGGAAAACTACCTACTACCGAAGAATTAAAGCATTCTTTATTGGTGTTAGACGGAGAGTTTATTAGACTACATGCATACGAAAGTTGGGATGCCCAAAAAGAAGCTAAAAAGTCAGGAAAAGAAAAAGTTTTTAAACCAATGGTATTTGGTACAACTCAACATTCTAGTCACTCTGATCTTTTAAAGAAAAAATATCTTAATTGGACTGCTGATATAGTAGAAAAAATTGTCAATGAAAGTGTAATTGGTGAAAAGAACCTGACGTCTTCTGTGTTCACACATGTTAATAAAACTTACGAGGGTTTGGTGGAACTGATTTCTTCGGTTCGTACGTTGTGTCCTTTGGTTAGTCTCGCTAGATTACGTCTTGAGGTTCCGATGTATGTAGTGCTTGGAGCAGGAGCCGGCGGCGGTGCTGGCGGGTCTGGAATTGCCGGTATAAATGCAGACGTAGAGGCCATTTTAGGAACATTCGATTCAGATATGCCGGAACAACGTCGGTACATGGCAGCTATGCAGCAGTTATTTTATTATTATGTATGGCATGGTCACCTGCCTGGACCAGAGAGTGGCTTAATACAAGTTGGTCAAGATTTACTTCCTCTTAGTGGCTTGCCTCTTTGTGATCTGCTCATTAGGGAAGATATAGTACCTAGGTATGCACACATTGACTAAGGAGAAAGGCGATGTTTTTATGACCCTGTAATAAATTTGACAAAACTTGTTAATATGTGACTCTCTTGCTCCAATATTTTATACCTTATTGCTTTATAACTATATACACTTATGATAATACTCTCGCTGTCTATTGTGTACGTGTTTCATAGATATACAAATAGTTAGTAGTAATATTTACCGAAAAGTGTTATGAGAAACCAAATAACGTATCTGGAAAGATACCATTTATGTTTAGTATTATTTATTGAAATCGTAAAGTACAAAATTTCTGACATTGTGTTCTTGCTTTTGGATCTAAACTCTTCTCTTATAGACTAATTAATGTATCAGTGAAATGTCTATTTAGGCAATAGAATTAATTAAACGTTAGGATAAGGATATTATGTGACTGATGAAAAATTGATCTTGTCTGACCAGGCAGCCTCTTTTCTACTCATTTTGTAATAATAGTGTATATTAAAATTGTTTCAGTTACCTTATTTTTAGACAATGTGTTTTTCTACTTTTATATGAACAATGAATTATTTTTTATATATATTAGAATGCTTAAGAAACATTGATCCTGAGGTTTTTTATGAAAAAAATATACAAGACTGATGAAATTTCAACCTGCGAAACAGTATTGCTAAACAAATTTTAATAATTATGATGTGATCTTCCACTCTTGAAATGTATGAAAAAATATGAGATATTTTTCATTAACACAATAATATCTCAAGATCAATGTTTTGATAATATTTGGTAAGATTTATTGCATTAATCAGCTAAAGTGAGAATAGACATAGATTTCGTGTGAAATTTTACTTAGGTATATGCTTTTAAGTATACAGATGTTGTTAGCCAATGTCTGCACCCATATACATCACATTTGTCCCACCTTTTATACCAAATATTTTTTTGTAAATGGTTAATTTTTTACCTTTATATTGGAGTCACCCCTGAGATTAATTGTGGGAATGTGAATGCTCTCACTCTCAATAAAAATGGACTCGCTTTTAATAGAGGGGACATGAAAAGGTACTGCATCGATAACAATGACGTGTTACAACTGGTGTAAGATTAAACCCCAATGCTTGCCTTTATTAAGAGGGGTGACTCATGATTGCGACAAAATCTCGGAATTTAATAGTACTTATTTAGTTCAATAATTGTCTCAAAGTAAATGTGATTTTATGAAGTCTGATCAATCCAAAGAAATGTTTAACAATTTACAGCATTATAATTGCTGTATAAATTAAGTTATTTATGTGTTATTATTATAGTAGTACACAGGGAAACTCCATATCGATATACTCTTGTCTTGCCAAATTGCTTTGTCATTAAGTTATTGCACTAGCGCTATTGTAGTATAGATACAACTTTTATGTAATTTTGTAAATTGATCCAAATAAATTTTGTTTAAGACTGAAAGATTGTTTTAATTTTTACGATTGCTTTTGCTTTGTTATTTCTAAATTATGATTTTACATGTTCTTGTCGTTGAAGAACCTATTCAAAGACTTGAATAGGTTCGTCATAACATACCATGTATGTTGAAATGTACTTACTACACTTAAGCCCATTTTCACCAACTTGGGAACACCTAAGCTAGACATTTCACTTTGGTTTCCACCACCCTATCCTGTAAGGTAAGTACTTGTCGTGATTGCGTCTAATTCACATCTATAGAGTATTTATACCCGGAACAACTAGTGGATCTCACGTAGTTGTCGTTTGTCGGAATCGAACCCGCGAATTGTACTTGCGTAGCACCCTGCTGCCCAGTCGCTGCTTGCGAACGTTATATTGTTTCACGGGTGAGCCTATTATCATAATAATAATAATACGTGTCACACGCCAGTTACAAGTATGAATTCGGAAAATGTTCCCTCATTACATGGGTGGGATGCATAACTGGCCGATGAGTAGGCCCCTTCGAGGGTTTAATTAAAGGCGACATAGTACTATGCATTAGATCGGGTTTTAACCATAATAAAACAAAAAGTTTGTAATCTTTGGATAGGTTTATTTACGAAACACTACAATAAATAGTAGATATATCTATTTTAGATAACACGAGGTGCAACGCCAACGAGACACTGCTAGACAACTTTATGTGAATGTAATATGGAATCAAATTATTAAATAGGTAGTTTAAAAAAAATATAACAAATGATAAGTAGGTATAACTCGTTGCCTAGCCCATGGTCGACATTAAAATAATAAACAAATCAAGTCAAAATTTTTTAATAGTAATAAATAGAACAACCTAATTAGAATAATTATGAATAAATTACCGTTCTGGTGTAATGTTCAACATTGTTTTGATAATAAACAATTTCCTTTTTTATCTAGGTATAAAAATTTCAATAACACAATTCAAAAAACATTCGTCAAACAATAAGGTCACAAAAATATAACGAGACTGGTTCTAATTTGTATCAATGATTACGTTCACGTAGCGGAGATATAATGGTCTGCAAGTTTTCTTTTCCAATTTTAGACGACTTTCGTAATAGTGAAGGTGATTTAGGTTTATACAGTAACTGTTCAGAGTCCTTCTTCATTTTGTCAATAATTGAAGACTGTTTTGCTACTGTCATTGTTAATTCCTCATTTTCTTGACGTAGCAGCGATAACTCAACCACTAGAGACTGCTGGTCCTGAATCTGAAATTGATAAACATTTTTTTTAATATTTGTAAAGTTATTTCAAATTAACTACCTACGTATTTGCATTAAATGTGGGAGGGCCATGATTCGGCACGAATGGGCTGGCTCGACCAGAGTGATATCACGGCCTCACAGAAAACCGACGTCAAAAAACACTTGTGTTGTTTCGTTGTGAGGTTACCGGAGGCCCAATTACTCCAATCCTTCACCTCCCTAATTTCAGAACCGAACATACTTGCAACACCTCTGGCGTTTTAAGTGTCCATGGGCTGCGTCGATTGCTTACCATCAGGTAATCCGTCTGCTCGTTGACCGGCTTATTTTTTTAAACTGGCTGTGTCTGTCTTACCTGTTGTTGTAAGCATTGGTTTTCAGTCTCAAGTCGGTTGATTTCGGCTGCGGCCTGCGCAAGCAGTGCTCGTGACTGTTCAGCTGCAGCTGTAGCCTGCCCTGCATGTTCAGTAGCCAACTCACATAGCTTGCGTTTCTTCTCCACCTAAAAAGTGGTTTAAACATAACATTATTATTTTACAAAAAAATAAATAGGTGTTACAAAATATAAGTAACATTTACCTCCTCGCGAAGTAATTGAATTTGCGAATTTGATTCTTTTTTCAACAGCTCTACATCTTCTATTAGCTCATTCTTGATAGTGCCTAGTTCACGATAGGCTTCTTTTTCTACGTTTTGTAAGCTTTCTATCAATGAAACATTGTGTTCCATAATGCGATTGTGCTCCTTGGCTAAAGCTGCTTTGGATTTTAATATATTTACTAAAGCCTCCTTGTACTCATTGCATTCCATTGCAGTGTTGTTTAGAGTGGTCTTATAATTTTCGAGTTCATTTTCCAAAATTTCCTTGGTATTAATTAGTGTTTGTACTTTATCTTCCAAGTGTTCCAATTCGTTATCAGATTCCCTTAATCTCATAGTCAAAACTTCAACAATATCTCTAGTTACAGACAAAGATGTTTCAAATTTGTTCTTATCCTTTATTGCCTTGTCCACCTCAACTGTTAGTTTATTTTTTTCATTCTCAAAATCTATGAGCTTCTTCTTAGCATCCTCTTTTAACTCATCTCTTTCTTCAATGAGAACCTGTTTTTCTTTGTTTAAGGAGTCATTTTCGTTTTTCAGATTATTAATTTCTTTTTGGAGGCTCATTTTTTCTTCGCCTAATATAGTTAATTTGTATTTTAAGTCCCTTGCTTCATTTTCTAGGTATTCAATTTTACTCTGTTGTTGTGTGCAATCATCCTGAATGCTTCTAGTCCGTTCTTCAAACTGTATCTCGCAAAGTCGTAACTTTTCCCGAGTTGCTTCATTGATTTGTTCTATTTTAGCTTTCATTTCATTGTCCTTACTGATTAAATCGTGATGGAGTTCCTGTACTGCTTCATCCTTTTCTTTTAATATTTGATATTTAATTGATTCTATTAGCGATTTATAATTTGATTTTAGATTTTCTTGGTCTGACTTAGACTTGTTTACGATTGCTTGTTTTTCCTCTTCCAATTTAGATTTTAAAGTTTCCAGCTCTGCTTTGTATTCACGTCGGATGCTCTCATTTGCTTCTAAAGCAAGAGCATGGTGTCCTTTTACCATTTCAAGTCTTTGAATAGTTTCTTCTAAATCTGTTTCAGCCTTTGTTAATTTTAGTTGCAGGTCTTGACATAAACTATCTCTAATAGTGATAATTTCTTCAACTGATCTCAGCTCTAATTGCTTATCAGTGACTTCTTGTTCTAATTTTTCACATTGTTTTTCCAAATCATATATTTTGCTATTCATTTGATTAATTAAATAGTTATCTCCATTTTGTACTACTGTTTCTATTTGATCTTGTTGCAGTTCCAAATCTTCTATTGTGATCTGTGAAAATTGTCTGTCCAAGTTGTTAAAGTTATTTTGTCTAACTTCTTTTACTTCTTTTTCCAGTTGAGCAATAGTTTGTTTAAATTCTTCAATTTGTTTTGTGTATTCAGCAATGGTGTGATCCTTATTCCTGAAAAAGTTATTTTTTTAATTTTTCAACCATTTGAAGGGAACCCTTATAACTTAAACATAAAGATGGTTAGTCATCAAGAACGAGTTATATTATTTTTAACCAAGTCAGAGATTTCAAGTAGCAGGCAACAAAAGTGGTACCTAGTATAAAGGACCATTACATATTTAACTGTCTTGATATAAAAGATTTTAACTCGTCGAGTACCGGTTTTGTAGACACAATTATAGAACAATAGGTTGCGGTCACCGGTGACCGCTTGGTATTTGACAGTTTAAATTGATTGTATGTTCTTGAGGAAAAAGAAAATATTTTCAAAGACCATAACAAAAGAAAAATTGTTGAGATAAGGAAATACACAAGTAATAAATTATAATTACTTACCTTATTTCTACTTCCTGAGATTTAATCAGTTCCTTTGCAGTTTCATTCTTGATCTTAGAATTTGGTTGGTCATTCTTCTTCTTCAAGCTGGTAGGAGCTTTGATTGTTGTTTTTAATGGCTTTGGCTATAAACAGAAAATTATTATAGAATTCTTTAAACAAACAGCTGATTAGATAGACTTACTTATTAATAAAATTAAAAAGCATCATTATTTTACAGTGAAGTAGGTATAACAAAGAACTCAATTGTTGTTATTGCCCTGTAAATATTTTGAACAATACATTGTGTTGGAATTGGAAAGAACATCATTTTATACTTAAGTAATTAGGTACTTACAGTAGCAAATGACCGGACACTGTGTATGGAGCTGCATTGAGATTGCACATCAGAATGGATCTTGGAAGATGTTGGTATAACAAATGGTTTCGGTTTGACCACTGTAGTGGCAGCTTTTGTATTAACTTTTTGTTTCTCATTTTCTGGTTTGGTCAGTTTATTCTGACATTTTTTAGAGGACTCAGGTGCTGGAATTATAAATTGTAATGGATTATCAAATTACACAATTAATAGGTACCTATCTATACAAGCATAGCATCGTGACGGGGTCATGTAAGTTCTAAACCAATTTTTTATAAACTATATAAGTAATATGTTAGTAGGTAGGTACTTTTATGTTTGTTTCATCAATGAGAGATATTTCTGTCATAACTTTAAAACATACGATGTGATTTACACTAAGTACCTTTTAAGGTCAGCTGTTAGTCTTACTCAAGTGACCATCACTATAGAAGATCTACCCACTAGTTTAAATGAGTAGGTAGATAGCCTACTGCATTGTCATTAAGCCAGGTAGATATCTACCTTAGCTTAGCTATAATTTAAAGTGAATAACACTAAGAAAAATCTTGAAATGCCGCGAAAAATAATTTCAGTAAAAAGTCAATCACTTACCGAGTGGTTCAAACCGCTTTGCTTTTGAGAACATTTTTAACAATAAATTAAATTAATTTTTAAAATTCATAAATAACGAACTTGTCTAAAATTCTAAATAAAATATGTAACCGTCAACGTGCGCTCTCCAATCTCAAAATGAAATAACGAACGCGCGGCGCGCAGGTAATAGGTGATCGTATCGTAAAATAGGGGATAAAGTTACACAACAGGGTGAAACGATGAATGCGCGCGCGCGTAAATTATTATTACTTCACAGACGCAGACGCACCCCCTGCCTGACCCCTGCTGATCGACGGGCGACGACCGTTACAACACGTTCCATTTCACGTTCAAAATGGTTTTTTTTATGTTTTCTTCACAAAAAAATGTCTAGACAGTGAAAAATTTTATAATAAACAAATAAATTCCATTTAGTCCCTAAGTAGGTACTATATTATAGAGTGGGTCCTTAATTTTGGTAGTATAATAAAATGTTTACATTATCTAACTAAAAACAAATAAGTATTATTTTATTTAAAGCTGTTGCCAGAATCAAGCAATATATAATATGTGTTATTAAATTGTTCTCCTATTTATATCTCAATAATTTAATTATATTCTTCTTGGCATAACTCCCAAAATTGCTTACTTAGAGTTTGAGATTTAACTAACAATACTACACATTAAGAATTTCATAAATATTTTGATATCAGGAAGAAAAAAAGAAGGAAAGTAGGTACTATATTTAGATACCTATTTGTCATTTTCAAACTTGAGAAAATATATACCAAAATGATATATTTGTTGTTAGTGGCTCACTCGGCTAACTGACAGAAACTATTCAGAAATTATAGCTTTGTAAGCAATAACTATAACGGTATCATTAAATGAAAAATTTATATTTTAAAGTATATATTTTATTACTTAACATTCTAATTAAATTAATATTTTTATACACACTTATTTACATTGAAGGTGGAGGTGGGGGTACAGGTAATAAGGGTGGAGGAGGAGGTACTCCCATTAATGGAGCCCCAGGAGGAGGTGGCAGTCGCATTCCATGATTCTCCCACATCTTGGGAGGAGGTGGTGGCATACGTAATGGTTCCATTTTAAATGCAAACTGTAGGAAGAACTGCTTAGTGTCTTTATTCCAGTGAGTCCAGAACTTGGAGTCATGTTTCTCCACTTCTCTGCTTGGAACTTTGAATGCAATTGTCTCATATGGTTCAGCAGCAAACAACAAGTATTGCCACCTGCGGTCTGGAGGTTCTATCTTTTGCTCATAGGCAGACATGAAGCGATGTCTCGGTTGTACTCCTTCAGCAATTTCTGTATGGAAAAATTTTATGATTACCACATCTGCTTTTAGAAACTTACAATAGTTAAAATCAAATAATAGCTGTATTTGCAACAACTGGAATGTCAAAATGATAAAAATCTAAACTTGTTAAATTGAATTACTTATAAAATCTTACCAGGATAATCTACTTGAAATAGTAGGCTTTGTTGGCCATTCTCAGGATCTTTCTGTTTTGTAACTCTGTAACCAGGTCTTCCAATCTTGACAAATTTCTTAGGTTCAATTCTAGGCTTCTCAGGGGCTAATTGCTGTGGTGCCTCTTTAGCTTCTTTTGCAGCTCTACGCGCTAAATTGGCTTGATGTTTTTTACCCTGAGTATGAGCTAAATAACTTCCTTCATTGTTGTGAAGAGTTAAACAAAGCTTGCACTCATATGATCCTGTAATAACAAATATAATATTAATTTGTGAAACAAATTGATTTTTATTCAATAAAATTGACATAATTTTCAGGTTATGTTATTTTTATATTTATCACTATCCAGTTATTCATGTACATGGACATACATACCCAAATGATTTTTCATAAAATAGGGATCCTTATTCAAATCAATAGTCTCCAACGCCAGTTGACGAAGTCTTTCGCGTCGGTCTCGATTACTTTCAGACCATGACGCTACTCCTCCACCACCAGTTTTACCGCCAGGGCGGTTTTGAAAATCCATTTTGACTTAAAGTAGAAGAGTTTTAAATTTAATTAGCCCAAGTTACTCTCAGATATGATAATATTGTGTGTTTACCAAATGTATAACCTTAATAATTAGCAACAGTCGATGATTGACGCTGACGCTGTCCGAAAAACAACGTAACAAGTAAACCGTAACGTAACATGACATTGACAATGACAATGGCAAATGACTATGACATTTATGACATCAATGTGTCTATGGACATCTCAGAGTTTCCATTCAATATTAAAAAATAAACATCCCTAATAATAATTATGTAGCCCTTGAAATATTTTTTTAATTTTGTATTAAATTATTGAATAAAAAATGAAACAAAAGTAATAATGAAAATAACAGAATATTATAAATAAGTAATATAATAAAAGTAAGTATATTAAGTATATTACTAAAAATATATTAGCCTGATTGGCAATTATGCTTTTGAACCGTTTGGGGTTGAAACTTTAGGGCCGTGGGGCCCAATCTAGGCCCAGGCCCCATCTTCTTTACAAAGATATTGTAAGGAGGATGGTTGACTCTTCAGGTGATCGAAGGGCTGGCTACTACCTTGGGCAAAGGTTAAGCATTCAAAGTAGTAATGCTGTCAGTTTTTTGGGCACCCTACCTCTCGATAGCGATGCGCAATTTTTTTTTTATGCCTTAAGATAGCTGTTTTATTATAATTACTTTTTTATGGTGTAAAGACTTTATAAGTTCTTAAAATCAAAATAAAATAATAATATATAGTCATTGTGCCGATAGTCGTATCGGCTAATGGCCTCATTGCTAAAAGCCTTGACTAACACTTGGTTGGGTCAAGGGCCTGATAAATGCAAAAAGCAGTACTTCTGGATACGACGCGTATAGTCCGGAAATTCCTCTCTTTGGAACCCTCCCTAGCCACCGGTAGCTTGGATTTCTCCCGTTACTGGTGAGCTATTTATAGCTTTTTATGTTTTTAAATGATTTTTTTATAATCAAATATATAAGTCAAATACAAATATTAATAAAGGAAAATATAGTTAAAATTATTTCCAAACCTTATTTTTCCTCAAATTTGGTGCTATTATATAATGAGATCTATTTGTCTAATTATTGTAGCTGTCAAGTCAAAACTCATTCGTCCAATGGTGTGACAATTGTATGTATATAAAAACGGATATTTATTCAATATTTAGTCATTTTGAGTATTTATCCAAAAAATGCCCACGTGAAGTTAGAAGTGAGCTGTTTCTGTTAAATGTTTTCACAGACATTTATGGAGCGAAATTAAAGACACAAACATTAGTATATTTTCTCTATAATCAAACTTTAAATAAAGAAAGAAACATTGCTTTTGCAAATTTGTAAAGCAAGATCCATTTATTACTTGCATATTAAATTCGTTGAAGGTTCCTCGGTTCCTGCTTTGATAAAGCCTGCACTGCAATACATACAATACTGAGGACCTGGTTTATCCAAATTGATGTAAACCCGAGGATGCCCTTCAGCTCCACTGCCCCCGTCACACCATACAATTCTGCCTGACATTTTTTTTGGAGGTATTGCAGCCACCAACTTTACCGGCCAATTGGGGTTAACTAGTTTTGGTGAGTGCATAAACCGGCACATACGATAGTCACGGCAATCCCATTTCTGACCTGTATGGGTAACAACATCATCAGCTTTAGTAGCCATGTAACGGACATTGAATTGTTTAGTGTTTTGAAACACAGTCCTTATTAGGGTCCTCTGCATTATTATTCTTATAATTCGTACAACTTTTACGACCAATATTTACGATGTTTCTTTAATTGATGTACGTAATGGATGTAAAAAAATATATTTCTTTGGAAGTAACGCTGTCGATTTGATATGTGTCAAAATTTGCGAAATAGGGACTATCGATTTTGTCAAGGACGTTAAAAGAGGAAATCTTAATATGTATTTTAATAAAAAAAAACTTAAATAACAATTATTACATAAATAAAATTAAAACTAAATATTACTAAATTAAAAGATGCGCTCATGTCGCAATTTCAACCCCTCCAACTAGGCTTCGGCTCAAAAGGGGGTTGTGAAGCTGCCGTACACGCCCTATCATCTTTCTTGAATACAAACGAAAGTGAGGTCATCCTTAAGGTTGATGTAAAAAATGCATTCAATTCCATCAATAGGGACACTTTGTTGGCTGAAGTTAAAAAAGAATTACCTGAAATTTACAGTTTTATTTGGCAGTGCTATAGACAACCTTCAAAATTATTATATAAAGACAAAGTTTTGGATTCTGCGGTAGGCTGCCAACAAGGTGATCCTCTTGGCCCAGTCATTTTCAGTCTGGCCATTCACCCTATTATTCGGCAACTTAAATCTAAATTTAATGTTTGGTATTTGGACGATGGAACCTTAGGAGGTGACGCAGATACTGTTTTCCATGACTTACAGCTTCTGATCTCTAAATTGAAATCCATCGGATTAGAATTAAATATTTCTAAATGCGAAATTTACCTTTCGGACAAAATTATTGACAGACAACGAATTTTAAACACTTTTTCTACCGTGGCGCCGAATTTAAAAATTGTTGATAAAAACTCTCTTCTTCTCCTGGGTTCCCCAATTTTCGAAAACAGTTTCTCTGATTTCATAAACGAGAAAATTAAAAATTTCTGTGACATTTCCGATAGACTTTCCAAAATTAATCTACATTGTGCCTTTACTTTAATTCGGCTATTGTTGTTTCGGCCCAAAATTTATGTATTTTCTGCGTGCTTCCCCTCTGTGGAAGCATCCGCATATTCTGGACCAAATTGATCAGATTATCCGTGACACCTTAACTTCACTTTTGAATGCTTCTATGGACGATCGTGTTTGGCTTCAAGCCACACTACCAATTCGTTTTGGTGGTCTAGGCGTCCGCAAAATTTCCAGTGTTAGTTTACCGGCGTTCATCTCATCTGTCCACAGCACTAGTACTTTAACAAAAAATATTTTAGCCGGTGTTGACGTTGAACCCGATGTGCCGTGTCTGACCGACGCGATGAACGCCTGGACAGAAACTTGTCCCAATACAGCCTTGCCTGTCAACCCTTCCTCCCAGGGACAATGGGACGAGCCGCTTTGCAGGTTGGTGCATAATAATCTAATTAATACCAGCACCAATCCTGCGGAGTTAGCTCGCCTATTGGCTGTGGGTGAGTGGGAATCAGGTCTCTGGCTTCAGGCACTTCCGTCATTCAATATTGGCACGATGTTGAATTTTTTCTTTTTTTTCGGCTTGCTGCTTGCTTGCGTGTAGGTGCACCCTGTGTTTCTCCGCATCGCTGTCAATGCGGTGAGATGGTCGACCACCTCGGCCACCACGGCCTATCGTGTAGCAGAAGCGCGGGCCGGATAGCCCGACACGCCAGCATTAACGACATCATCCGTCGAGCTCTTGTCATCGCTGGTGTACCAGCTGTTCTGGAACCAAAGGGTTTGGCACGCGACGATGGTAAGAGACCCGACGGTATGTCCATTATGCCCTGGAAGCTGGGAAAGTCTTTGGTGTGGGACGCAACCTGCGTCGACACCCTTCTCATCTTCCAGTAACGGCGAGTTGTGCTGGTTCGGCTGCTGCCTCTGCAGAAAGCCTCAAGCGGCGCAAGTATAACAAGCTGGTAGTTATATCTTTGAGCCGTTTGGGGTTGAGACGTTAGGTCCGTGGGGTCCGAGTGCGCTTAAATTGTTCAAAAACATTTCGAAACGCCTGGTCGACACATCTCGTGACCAGAGGGCTGGTCTTTTTCTCGGTCAGAGGTTAAGCATTGCCATACAACGTGGCAATGCTGCCAGCCTTCTGGGTACTTTCCCCACTGACGTCGATGCGGACGAGTTTTTCGATGCCTTATATTTATAATTAATTATAAGAAAAAATAAACTATTTAGTTTATTTTTTCTTATAATTAATTTTAATCATAAGTTGTATATATTTAATTTAAAAGAGGTGAATACAGTCACTTGAAACGGCGACTGTGGCACCTGGCTACTATAGACTTACACGCAGAATACACACACATCAATAAGAAAGGATATATTCTGTCGCAGGACAGACGCGGCTCGTAATTACACTTCTTATATTATAATGTTGGAAGTATAAATACACACATACACATAAATACACCACTGACATTTTGGTGCTTCAATCTTTTCTAAATAACATTACATCTGTCTTTGTTTTTTCATTTTCCAACGTCTTTGACATAATTCGTCGAGCACTTGTCTCCGTCTGCGTGCCAGCTGCTTTAAGCCTAATGGCTTGGTACGCGACGATGGCAAGAGAGTTGACGGTAGGTACGTGATTATACCCTTGGGAAATCGGTGGGCCTTAGTATGAGACGCCACTATCGTTGATATTCTGGCATTATCCCATCTTCCAAGCTCAGCGTGTCGAGCCGGTGCTGCTGCTGCTGCTGCTGCTGCCGCCGAGAACCTCAAACGGCGAAAGTATAATAGCCTGATTGGTGGCCGTGATTGCACTGGAATTCAAGTCCACCGGGATTCAAATGCACGTCTATTTTACAAAGATATTGTAAGGAGCCCTCCTTACATTGTTGACACTTCAGGTGATCGAAAGTCCGGCTGCTACCTTGATCAAAGGTTAAGCATTGCCTTGCCCCTTGTCATTCAACGTGGCAATGCTGCCAGTCTTTTGGGCTCCCTACCACACGATAACGATGAGGATAATTTTTTGATGAGTTACTTTTCACTACTAATTTTTTTAGGTAATTTTTATTCAAATTTTTATTTTTTAAGTAATTTAATTTTTTTTTGTGTATAGTACTTTTAAAATTAATAATTTCAACTCCCAGAAAACATTTAAAATGTATGTTAAGGAATATTTACACACAACTAAAATATTGCATTTAACTGAATTAATCGAATAAATTCAATCGTTAAAAATTTCGACTAGAAATATTATGTTAAATAACCCAATATCTCCGAGTCTTTACCTGGAACGACATTTGCATGTCAGACGTCAAACTGGTTTCTGTGATCCTTTTCTTTTGTCAAAATAGGCGGAAGGTACTTTCAGACTTTAAAATCTATTTTTATTTTTGTAATCTAAAACTTTTTAATGATTTTAGTTATAAAATCGAAAACTATGTTGTATTATAAATAACGTGTCATAATTATTTCATTAATGTGGTGGTCAGTGGTGAATCAAAATTAAGATAACCTAAGTGCTTATTTTGTGTCTTGTTTTTAGGTAGTGCTTCAAGATGTTGATGCCTAAACAGAATCGCGTTGCTATTTATGAATACCTCTTTAAAGAGGGTGTTATGGTAGCCAAGAAGGATTACCATGCTCCCAAACACCCCGATCTGGAGAAGATTCCTAACCTCCAAGTTATCAAGGCTATGCAGTCATTAAAATCCAGAGGATATGTCAAGGAACAGTTTGCCTGGAGGCATTTCTATTGGTAAGTGTGTAGATTTTCATTTTTTATTGACTGTTTACTAATGAAAATACTGTTTTAGTCCTGTACCTAAGCTTGCTATAAGATTGATAGTAGATTGTCTCATAAATAAACTCGTAAGTGTATATAACATGTAGACAATAGTACCACAACTCCTGATTTTTATTGTTTACTGTATTTCAATCTTATGACTATGGTACTTGTACCCTTTTAGAGGCAAGTGACTATTACTGTTTACCATATTACAATCGAACATGTGATACTTTTAGGTACCTTACCAATGAAGGTATTGAGTACTTGAGGATCTTCTTGCACCTGCCTCCTGAAATCGTACCCGCAACCCTTAAGCGTTCCGTACGCGCTGAGACCGTCCGCCGCGGCGCTGTTGGCCGCCCAGACGCTCCTGCACGCTCCGCTGAGGACCGATCAGCATACCGCCGTGCTCCAACCACACCAGCTGCACATGACAAGAAGGCTGATGTCGGCCCTGGATCTGCTGATCTTGAATTCGTAAGTATTAAGTAAAACAGTCACTAGAATCATTACTCAATTGTTAAGGAACTATTATATTGATGATGTTTGTTCATTATTAAGTTTTTGGTATTCGTTACAAATATAACATCGATGTAGATAAAACAGTAGATTAGATGCTCGCTTACAATTAACATCAGTACAACTAGGCTAATCTGTAATTTTCTATTCAAAAACCTAAGTGAACTCTATCAATATTAGTATAACGAAATGATCATTATGTTCAAATCCGAGTTGATTGGTTTACTTAAGAATTTTCCTAAAAGGTGTCTTCATGGCTATTGTTTTGGATAAATATAATACTTTCTAAGTCAGTACTACCTACTTGGATTTCTCTAATGATTGTCCTTCTTTGATTTTACAGAGAGGAGGTTTCGGACGAGGCAGGCCTGCACCTTAAGTTTAAGTAAATAAAAATCTAATGTAAAGCTTTTGAATTTTATTTTAAAATATATGAACCACACTAGGTAAAAGTAAGTGAAGTTGAAAGATGATCTCTTTATATGAACACAAGTTACAGTCTAATGCCCGAATAATGAAAAACTAGGTACTCTTGTACTTAAATATTGCGTCATTTTTGTCATTTTACAAATTTGTATTCACGAAACCATACTTGGCACGACTTAAAATTGAATGGCGTTTGAGTGTTTGGACATAATTATACTAATTAATAAATACAGTTGAGATGTCACTAGAGGTCTCAAGTTTGGTTCCCGGATGTGTAGTATTGAGATTTTACGTATTTCGAAAAATCATCATAGACATTGGAATTGCGCCTAGTGTAGGGTGTAGGTTTTATTATTGCCCCTTAACACTTCAACTGCCAAGTTTAAAATGGTGAAAGTCGAACCTCCCCTGTGTCAGGCACCGGTGCGGTGACTGACGTGGCGCTCTAAGGGTTAATACTTCATGGTATCATTGAGAAATGAGAATATCGAAAGATGGTTATTGTCCTCACCTGAAATCGAATTCATGACCATTGCATAGCAGTTGGTCATGCTGGAAAATGAAAATTTACGTACCCACTGACGGCTTGCTGGGAAATAATAAAACTCAAAAAGAAACAAAAAATAATTTATTCAAAATAATCTACAAAATTCCTACAGGGTATAACAACCCAGTGTTGGTATTTAAATTATTTCCTGAGTTAACATGATTTTATATTTATGTCATTTGATATTTTATTTTTGAACTCTTGGGTTTGGTGGTGTAGCGAACTCTCCAATCTTGGCTATGTAGTATTGGTAAGCTCGGAATGGCTTCAATTCCCATGGCACCTGATCCTCCATTTTTGTCAGAGTAACTCCAAGGTCTTCCAATGTAGGAAGGCTATCATCAACCATATCAGTTGTAGATTCCTGTAACACAAGAATTATTCTATATTGAGATATGTGTAAACTGTTTTGCAATTAGTGACAGCAATGTTTAGCAGATTTGTGAGATTTGATAATAATATCTACTAATAATATCTAATAGTTCTATGCTAAGCCCCCACTTAGCGTAGAACAGAACCGCCTTCTGTCCTTGGGTGCATCCAATGCATTTCCACAGTGCATACAGTGATAATCGCCGGTTTGAGTACCCATTACATTTATATTAAAGGGCCTCTGTCCTCTGTGCAGTTGGCGTCGGCCCCTCGTACGCCTCCCAAATGACCGGGACCCTGTGGTCCCGTGAATGTTACCATTAGTTACTATTTAATGTTTCGTAAGGTGTGCATTTTTTTATTATAACGAAGCGCGAGCATAAAGCCAGATGACGGAGGGCGAGCATCCGTACAGCCCTGTCGTTGATATTCCGAGTGCTTGAGGTACACTGTGAGTCTAGATAGGCAATTGGATATACTGTTTTTATCGTGTCCGTGCCCTTGCAGCGTCATATTCGTTATTCACGGTCAATCGGGATAATACGAATGCCCGAACACCTCACTCGGTGACAGGTTTTAATGTATATGTATTTAAAAGCATAGATATCATCAAGTAACAAGTTTAAATACCTTTTCAATTGCCTCCCAGTGCAGCCCACCCAAAGGGTAAGATGGTGAAATCAGGTTTACAAGCTTGACTTTTAGGGGGAATAAGATAGGATCATATTTCATGTCGTAGCGTTGGTATCCCCAGTATTTTTCATCTTTGCGCATTAGTGCAAAGAACCAGTCGACCAGATCAGCTAACAGGTACCTTTTAGGTCTAAAAAGAATAAATTAAAATTCTTGAAAATGTGTTTTCATCACAGATAAATACAGAATCTTATTTTATACATATTTATAAAATAATTTATTTACCCAACCGCTTGGTAAACCTGGCATCTGGTATCAGGATCGCGAATGGCGTTTAGTATACCCTGAGCAACATCTGACACATAAACAGGCTGTTTTACGGTCTCCAAGCCATTCTTGTACAATGCCATGTACTGTCCATTGATACGCGTAGGTGAAGCAAATGTTCTGTAATTGAAAAAGGATCAATTAGGGTAGATCTATGAAATGAGGCTTTTGGAAGCTAATAACCCAACCTAGGCAACACTAATCCTTTTACTTAGGACTACATAATACATACGTTTTTAAATCCGTACAGTGAATAAGCCATCCATCCAGTTTAGAGCAAATAAATAGAATGAGGTCGATTACTTTTTTACAGGATAAGTTGGTAAACAGGAATTATAGGAATTTGAAGATTGTTACTGATTCGGGATTGAGGAGATTTTTGTAATTGAGCCAATGGTAACCTATTCTTATTTTTTGTGATAATTTGTTATTCTTCCACATGCACAATTGGCTATTATGATACTACTTAATTATAAAGTTTTTAACCAAATTATATCTACAGCCAATGGTACCCTGGTGATGGTGTCCCTGTACTGAATCAATCTTTATGATGTGTTTCTTAGAATACATAGCAAAAATGTAATATTGGCTGAACGAGTATGATTGGAAGCTAGTTTTTCAGAGGAATTCATTAAATTTAAATATTTCGTTTGCAAATACCTCAAAAATCGATCTTCACTGCCATAGATGTCAGAAGCACGTATTATGGTAGCAGTAGGGAACTCTTCCCTTACGGCACACTCTCCCCAGTACTTGCTGACCTTGTACATGGAGGGTGTCTTCATCACCAGCGGTTTAGGTTTAGGTGACGCATTCAGGTAGGACACATGAATGAATCTCTCAACACCCATTTCCCGAGAAATCCTGTAAACATATTATATCAACCATGTTCATTTGTAAAGCTTTTCAAAAAATATAAATAAATAATTTATAAAAATGTATTAATGTTACATCCTTAATTATAATTAGTGTATTTTAGTGTTAATTAACTTATTATATTATTGTTATAAATTATAGACGCATGACTAAAGTGTAAATTTCCAACATCTGAAGAATGGTTTCAGTAACATAATTTATTAATAATAAGTATACATAGTGGATTAGTGGTATTATAGAAAGTTGTATACCTGGCAAGGCGCCTTGGTCCATCAATATGCACATCCTTGTATTTAAAGTTCTTGGTTTCATAGTCTCGTCCCACTAAGTTGATGACAACATTGGAGTACTGCACAGCTTTAGCAATGGACTCCTCATCTCGGAGGTCATAAGGTGTGAACAACACCTGGCCTAAATCTCCAGCCACTTTCAATCTCTGGGCATCATAGAAATCACTTCGGTAAGGCAGGATCATCTGAAATAATTCGTTCCTTTTGAGAAGTTTGCTTAATATTGTTGACTAGTGGAACAGTTAAGACATTTGTTTACTTTTTAAATATCTATTTAATTATAAATGAAGTTACTAGTAGGTTATATTGTAAATATCACATCAAAACAATTGCATCACAACAGCTGACCTGTGTTCCAGTCTTGCCCAGTTTATTGCAGACATAGCGTCCAACAAATCCAGTGCAACCAAACACTGTTGCTACAATTCCATTGAAACTACAACGACCTCCTGTGCCCCGCTTGTACGCAGCTATGTTAGGCTTACTCCCATCTGAACTGTATGAGGCAGACTTGATGTAAACAACGCTAAGAGGCCCAACAGTGGCTGAAATTGTACATTTTAGAGTTCAAGTAAATATTGACCACTATCTGAATATAAAGTTCGATAAGTTCTAATAAGACTGAATCTAAATAGGGTTATTATGAAGCTTTTAAACAAATTATGTAAGAGTTAAATCAATCAATAGTAGCAAGTCTTTTAACTTCAGATTAAACTTACGCTTTATTTTAGTGGCAAAATGGCCTGTGAGAGCAACAGTTGCCATTTTCAGGCCAATAATATAATGATCTTAGCAGTATTTTATCTCAAACTCCCATCAAGGGATGAGAAAGAACCAAAAACTATAGTTTTAGCGAATCCTTCGAAGACAAACGTCACTCAAATTTGACTTTGACTGTATTGACAGTATACAAAGCACAGATAATAAAAGAAGATTGCACAATTATTTTTCTGCTGGTTTAGAATTAACCTTCGAAAAAAATTGAATTTCTTTCATTGCGTAATCTTATTTTTTTGATATTCATCATCACTTTCAGCCTAGGGTAACTAATTTTTAGTTGAAACTTACATCAAAAACCGATATTATGTAATCGAATCGGTTAAACCGATATTGTACTGCTCGAATATTCGATTGGAACGTCACTTATTTACAAAATGCAAAAAATTGGTCACACTTGGAAGAAATGTCAGTGTCAACGAAGAAAAAGTCTAGTCTTTGGTCAAAAATACAATCAATTTTTATGTTTTTGTGCCATCTCGGATTATCTTGTAGCTAAGCTAAGAAGCTTGTAGCTAAGCTAAAGTATCTTTATTTTAACTTGGAAGTAGCACGTATTGATACTATCTATTCTAATCTATTGGTATTCAAATTCATATACAAAAACCATGGTATTATTCTGAGTGTATTGTTTCTATGTGAATCGAAAATAGTAATCCAGGAACAGTTACGATCTAAAACAGTTTAAAAGTGAATACAATCCTTTTAACATGGAAGAACATGAAATTGAAAGCCTCAGTACTAATAAGAATGTAGAAGAGGTCTGCCAAGTAGTACAGAACTTCCTGAAAAAAGTAAGGGTTGTAGGTATAATTAGATTAGAGTGAAACTTCTTAGTGGATAGCTACTAATATAAATATTTTTTAATTTTCAGAATGAAAATGCTTTTACTTTCCCTAACTTGGCAGAAAAGAATCAAAGAGCTTTGTTATGGACAGCCTTGTTTCAACGTTTACAAGACAAGTCATCAGGATCAGCCCATGCTCTTTGTTTAGCAGCAATAAGAGTATTGAGGTTTGTAATATATTATAAGAATTCCATACATTCCATTATAGAATAAGTTAACAATCTTAGAATTATGTTTACTTCCAGCCGAGATAAAACTGATCTTGAAAACTTGATCTGTGAAAAATGGATAACAACACTCATAGAAAGAGCAGGCTTATATAATTTCGAAGCTCTTGATGAAGAGGCCATGGTGCCACTAGAGATAATGGAGAAGGATGTTGCAGTTGAGGCATTGAAATGTCTTTGCAACTTGACTTTCAACAGTGAAGTGGCCCGAGCTCTCTGTGCCCATACATCTATTGCTCAGGGACTGGTAGCCCGGCTGAGAATCTACAGAGATATGCCTTTCAAAGAAGAAATCATGCTGTTCGACTTAAAATTACTGTTTATCCTTACTGCTCTGAGGCATGATATTAAAACTAAAATAAAAGATGAACTTCATGGTATGGAATACTTGATTAATTGTCTGGGGGAAATATTGACAGAGGCTTCAAATGCTGAAGACCAGGCTTCAAGTAGTAGTGGCTTGGTTGAAGGGGCCCATCACTGTTTTCTACAGGTAAGTGGGAATTTAATTTAAACTACCTATTAAGCATCCTTTGGTTATTTTCAAGGCATCTATTTATGAATAAGCAGCAGTGTATATCAGATAATTTATTATTAATCCAGGACAATCAACAAGCCATAGTCTGTGAGATTCTCAAGACCCAGTTCAATTTGATCCTGCAATCTGGCTCTGAGGAACCAACAGATGAAGAGGAGGAGGCTATGTACTTGAAACTAATGCCAGTGATGACTGCCCTCCTCTATGCTCATACTTCCACCGAGGAGAAACTCATGGAGTTGCGCAGTAATATTGCTAATTTGCTTACAAGGTATGTTTGCTATGACCAATCATCATCATTGTCAATGGCTCTTGATATAAGAAGGTTTACCATAGCCTCTACACTTGGCTGGTGGCTACATTTCAGTTTGTTCCGTTTGTGTCAAATGTGTCCTTAAATTTGCTGTTGCAACATCTGCACAAAGAGTAGGAGTAGTGTTAAATGTATTGTACTCTGCCATCACCTCACAGTACTTTAAGAAAGATAAAATAGTATAATTTGGTTATTAAAACTGTTTTCCAGCGTTCCTCCAATGTTTTACCCCTATTTGATTCCGGAGCTTGCTAAGGGAGAAAGAGCACAGTATGAGTATGACGGGAGGAATATGGATGCATTGCAAGCTCTCATACTACTGTTACAATACAGGCTCACAATAACTACAGTAAGTAGCGATATTATTAAACAACAATGTGTACTCATCTATTCAATGTATTTCACTGTGTACTGTTATTCATGAACAATCTTGACTTTGAATGACTGCTGTCTTTATCTTATTAAAAGTGCAATATCTCGTTAATATATAAAATACACAATTTTCAGGGCACCAAAAATCAGTATGAAAACCTGTCGCCAATACTGACAGTGTTGAACAAGAGTTCACGTGGATGTCGTTCCCAGAGAAAGTACCTACGTCAGGTGGTGTTGCCACCCCTTCGTGACGTGTCCCGTCCTCCCGAGAAGGGCAATACTCTAAGAAACCAGCTCTGCAGGCTTCTAACCACACCAGTTACGTCAGTCAGGGATTTGGTTGCCGAGTTTCTATTTATTCTGTGTAAAGAAAAAGGTTTGTTTCTGAAAAATATCTATTGGTGTGAATGTTTAAAGGAAACATAAATTATTATTTATTTTCCTTATTTGTAATTTACTTAAGCGAAGTTAATATTTTGCGAATGTGAATTATTCATTAATTTAATTTAACACTTATTTTTAAATAGTAAATCAATTAATGCGAGGGTGCATTGATTGAGTGGTCTCTTCCCCAAGGACAATTTTTCTCATTATATTTGTACCAAATATAACAGCTATTATAATCTATGAATCGGAAAGTTCCACTAACTGTTTTTGTTAATAGTGGGCCGGATGGTGAAGTACACTGGTTTTGGTAACGCGGCCGGTCACCTTGCACAGAAGGGGCTTCTAAGCGGCGGCCGAACTGGCGACTATTCGTCTAGCAGTGACGACTCAGACACCGAGGAATATTTGGAAGCACAGCCGAACATTGACCCCGTCGTAGGGTGCACTCGACCTCCTCGCATTAACCCCTTTGAAGGAATGAGTGATGAACAGGTAATTTAATCTTAAATTTATATTTTGTCTCAGTGTCTGTGGAATTTTATGTAACTATAATGTATCGTGCGACATAATGTATCGTGCATCATTTGCGGTCAATGCTAAGTATTAAGTAGCAATCCAATTACTCATGCACTACAACACTGAAGACACCTATTCATACTAAAGACAAAATGCTCCAGCTTCTCTTAAAAAAACTATTTCTTTCCGCAGAAAGAGTATGAGGCGATGAAATTGGTGAATTTATTCGACAAGATGGTGACTGAAGGTGTGATGAAGCCGGCCCGTATCGGACCGGACGGTCGCCCCCAAGCTGTGGAGCATGTGCTTGAGTTAAGGGAACATCCGCCGAACAGACCACAGTCCTAAAGAAACGGGATAACAACGTAAAGGAATTCAACATGCGGTACCTTGTCGTATTTTTGATGCGCTATGGTATAGGCAACAACAGGAGTATCACGACGTCAATCGAACGAATCCTGCTGTTGATTCGGATCGCGCATTAAAATTCGAAGTAATCTTCCCCAAAGATGAATACGTAAGTTAATTATTCATCTAGATTTGGATGACGTCAGAAATGCATTTGTCAGGAATTTCTAAATTTAATATTCTTGTGTGGCCAAAGTGAGAATAGGAAAGAAGGGTTGAAACTACTTCCAATTAGATACTCGATTGAATTAGGCATAGGTTAGACATTTGGGACTTCTAGTGCATGTTGAATAAATAGGTTTCTTCAAGTTAGTATTTTGATCTTCGATTTATATTAAATAGCAGGTAGAATTTAAATGAATTTTTAAATAGTAAGAGAAATATATTTTTATTGTATTGAGGTTTGGTGTAGCGAGGATTTTGGCGAACAAATGAGAACTAAGTCATGTGGAATGCGAAGGTATGAAATATCAAGGATCATGTAGATTAGTTTGTAAAGTAGCATAATAATTGCCAGCCTAGCCTTAACCAATCTGATTGTATGGAGCAGGCTGTTACTGCCGTTACTAGAGCTGCCTTAGGATCGTTTAATGTACTTCTACACTTTTTTAAACTCTTTGTGATGCATTCGTTATTTGTAAGTATATTATTGTGTGATATCATTAGACAAATTACATATTTATTTTATTTTAAGCGGGCCATTTGAATATCGTACAGATTACAGCGTTCATTTTAGCGAATTTTTAGTAAAACAAATCAATATTCGATTGTTATTGATTGCATGTTGTGACTAGACGACCTAGGGACCTGTAGTGGCCTAAGATATATATTTATCGTCATATATTTTGTGCCATTAGTACGTACTAAGTAGAACACGTGGTTGCGTTGTGTATTTGGAATTACCAAAGTATTTCTTTATAATTCTTCAGTGCAATATAGCTTGTTAATAGTACGCGTATTACATTAATGTTTGGATTCAAATGAACACCTGACATCGAGTAAAATGTTCTAAAATGTATTATGTAGCTTTATTTGACATAGAATTTTTGAAGATTCGATATATTCATTCGATGTATTTCGTAGGAATTTATCAGTAATTAGTAGGATATTTAAGTATTTTATTGTAACAAAAATCTGTTAATATTATGTTTTTTTAATGTAATGTTATTACAATTTTAGTGTTTGGTAATTTATTTATTAATGATGAAATAAATCTATTTAGAAACTATATTGTTTATATTTGTCAATCCATCTATAACACAGATCATAGCAGTTTTTTATATAACGGACTGGGTGGTATTTCTCAACACTGGCAAATATTTTCTAATTAACTACTAATTCATCATATTGTGAGAACTTTACACCTTTCATTGATGAAAACTTTACACCTAGATGGAGTGGGACTGTCATCAAGGGTCTAATGATAAAGATCCTTTTCTAAGACGTAGTAGTTAAGGGAACTTCTCAAGGGTATACTGTATCTACCTTGTGTTTGGGCTTGTATAATTTGTGTTGATTAGAACTTTGCACCTATGCGGATTTTAAGTGGCAAAACTTGTCTATGTAGACAAAAAATTAAAAACCGACTTCAAAAGACCCAAAAACTAAAAAGGTAAAAGTAACTATTATTAGTAGGTACTGACAGGTAACCCACCCACTGATAAGCTCATATCAAAAAGATTTAGCTTAATTGTCAACATATTAATATTAGATATCTATTATGGTTTTAATGAATAATTTTGTTTACAAAACTGATGGCGCTGTCTTCTAACCTATCAGTGGGTGGGTAACCTAATAGTGCTAATAATAGTAATTTTTTGCTATTAATTTTTTGTTTGTTTTTAGTTTTTGAGTTTTTTGAAGTCGGTATTTTAAACGCAGATTTTATATTTTTCTGTCATATTTTTAACTCGGAAGTTAAAATGTTTGTGGTGTTGACTAACAGTCTCCTCTTCTTTACACTGGACTAATAATGTTAGTAGCGAAACGTGCTTAAATCATATGTATTACTTACATATGTACCATCCGTTCCAAAATAAATAGCGTGATATTATGATGCGTAGTCAAATGTTAATATTCTGAGTTGTGTAGTCGCAAGTGCAACTACCAAGCAAGACGTCTTGGGTTCAACTCCCGGGATACCACAACATACACAGCTTGAAATTTCGGTGTTTTTTTTTCAGTAAAAGCAGTGGCTTTTTACTTCAAAGTTCACCCGTTGTTAAATACTTAACTAGTTTTATAACATAAGTGGTCAAAAGTGGTGTTTCATTTAAAACAGAGACATCTGCCTATCCCTTCGGAGATTAGTCATCACGAGACTCGTAAATGTGTTGATAGCGGACATAAAGTTCACAATACATAAATATTCAATTGACAAGAGCAATCCTAAAGAAAGTAACTAAATAAATCTCTCCTGAAGGGATATATTTCATAAAATCACAACATCATAAAGAGTGCTTTAAACCGTACATCGGGAGATGGCATCTATCGATCACAGTTCCAGTAACTATTACTTGTATACATAGTGTACACGTAGATACGGCGGCAGTGCAGCATTGATTGATGCTCTGCACAATACCCCAGAGAACACGAGCGCATCCGCGCCGGACAGACACGCGCGTTGAAAATCAATTACAAGCAATTATTGGGTAAGCAAGCTCACCTATAGCGGACGGGAAGGGTAGGAGCGAAAGGTCGTACATCCCTATGTATGTAGTTGTGTCCCGACTCCCGGCGCCAAGCGCCAACTCAGTCGGCTCTCGCAGGGCGGGAATACAGGGCGGCCGCTTGTCGCGCTCCGTGCGATTGCGCTTGACGAATTCGCGAAATGGAATTATTGTGGGTATCATTAATTATTGCATTTCATACGGATTTAATTAACATTATTGCGTCTATAATATCCTCCACTAATTAGCTTATTATCAGAAGAGGGTTCGGTCCGCGATTTTTACCTCTCTTTGTTTAGTTATGACAAAAGATCTATACTGAAATATATTTTCCGTGTATGAATGTTCAATTTGGGAATCGATTGCTTGCACTTTTGTCCGGAGCTCAGGTGCACATGCGTGGAATTTTTGTTTTATTTCTTTCCAACATCCTGATTTTTATTATTTCTATTTCTGCGTTTACGTAGTTCGTGATACTTAGATACATAAACTTTGTAGAAAAGTGAATTCTTAACATTTATTTCTACCGGAAAATTTGGAAAATATTTAACGATTCTTAAAGGTGTTACAAGTAATAAATTATATCAATTACTGTACAATCCGAGGAATAGGTAACTAAGATTAATAAAATAATAATAGTAAATTAAAATAATTGACATTTAAGTAAACAGGTGTAGATACCTAATTAAACAGGTACTGACCGACTTGTTAGTCATTCTTGTGTTTCATTGTAACAACCGTGTTGTGTACCTACACGAATTACATTTGATTCGCCACTCGTTTTGCAATGATTTACTAGGAGATGTCTCTATTGCTCACAAAAGGCGGGAAGTCTCCTTAATAGACGTAGCCAGTCAGTCAGTGTCCCATTCGTCTACCAACGGGACACTAACTAAAGAAACACATCTATTGCTATCAGGTATACTTCATAGGAATAGAAACTGACCTACCCCAACCTAAAAACTTCAACCCGCTCAATGAAAGTAAAATTCTTTCAAAGTTCCCACTTTCTGAGAAGGTATGTGGTGTAGACGTTGGTGAACCAAGAGGTTGATTTGATACCTATGCACTTAAGTAACAATTAAACTCACTTGAGTTTTGATTTGGGAGGTCTGCGGTTATGAAATACCTATTAATTTATATAGATGCAATACCTATTATAAATATAGATGATTAATTTTTGCCTTTAGAATAAATGTCCTATGACAAGAGCAATAGTTCGGAACCAAATGTTGCAAAATCGAAAGTGGTAATATTCATTTAAGCTACGGTTTGTACCTTCGTCACTCGTGCTAATTGCTATGTAAGAAGTAGGTAATTATTATCTATTTTAAATCTATTAAACATATTGTTTCTACTCATTAGATATGTATGAATAAATTTCAAAATGGTAGGCGTGGGTAACTTAAACGTAGAATTAGGTAATTTATAGATTTTTACACATAGTAGAGACTTGAAAACATAAACCCTAGCTACTAACGGTTTAAAACGGAGTTCCGGGTCGTTTTATTTTCTTAATCTTGCTATGTGTCGCGGAGAACCTAACGGGTTACCGGGGCTCCGGCTCGACGTGCAGGAGAAGTAACGGGGTGGTTTTTAGTCAGTAAGAGTCTGACACTCCCTCCCGCCTCACCCAGGCGGGAGCAGCCATTCGATGATTTTCACCCCTTAAAAAAATCTTGCTACATAGATGGATATATTTATTTTATTAGTGGAAGGTATTGTTTATGTGCTAGTGGTTTGGTGACGCTGGTAGCCTGCGCGTCGGCTGCCGTGCCGGCAACTGTGCCGACACCAACACCGGTAACTAAATGTGAACGGGCGCCTGCTCATGCTTCACCCTCTGATGAGCACTACCGCATCAGCGTTTCTGGCGAACCTGATTTATTCCTGCCTGGAGAACTGTACACAGGTAATTAGCAACTTCTTACATGCATATTGAGACGGTTGTTGATGATTGTAAGTTAGAACCGTCTTGAATTAAGATTTACTCAGGATAGGGTGATTAAACTCCCTGCCATTGTTTCTAGTATCGCTTCAAGGCATAGATAGTGGACAAGGACCCACGCCTTTCATAGGATTTACGATATGGGTCGAAGTAAAATCCGACCAACCCAAAATCGATAAGGCCACGAACCAATCTAATGAAACTAAGGCTGCTAACCTGACGCTGGGTACGTTCCAAGCGTATGATGCTCAGGCGAAGATTGTCGAAGTCTGTTCTCCGTCCGTTGATAATGCTACTGCACATCCCAAGACTGAAGTTCAGGTTAGTACCCATTCAAACTCTACTCCAAAGTTCACCGTCGGGTTGTTGAACAAAAGTTATTTGACTTTGATAGGAATTGATAAAGAGGTATCCATGTTATGGCAGGTAATTTGGAATGCACCATCCGGCATGGGCGTGAGTACGCCAGAGATGTGCGTAAGGGTGTGCGCACGTGTCGGTCCCTACCCCGGGGTGGGTGCTGCTGGTGGTGGCTGGTCCGTGCTGGCTCGGGAACTGTGCTCAGCTCCAGCCGCACCGCATTACTTAGCCAAATTACCGCCTATCATTGAACCATGTTGTGCCTGTGATGAAGCCAAGTATGAGGTAAGTGTAATAATTATTCTCATTAATAGAATTTTACTTGAATTTCAGCATTTCCTGTGACGATGTCGTAATGTTACGTGTCCCAAAAAAGTTATTTGCTAAAGATCAAAATATTCGACAGGTAACTTTCGAATGCCTATGGTCTCGTAACACGCACCCTCGCGAGTTTCCGCCGGAGAGTGCACACGCACACTTTGGTGATGTGATCGGCGCATCGCACACCGCGCAATTCCGAGTGTGGCAGGAGGGACGTGTGGCTAGCCCCGGGGTCAGACGATTGGCTGACGATGGCACTACCGTAGCTCTAGAGAAGGAATTGAAAGCTGAGGTTAGTGTGTTAATCAGTGTTAAGAGAATTGCATGTATGTACCTAATTAAGGCACATGGTCAAAATTTTAATTTCAACAGAGCGATCACATCAGGACAATAATCAAAGCGCGTGGTATATCGTGGCAGCAAGTTGGTGGGGCTGGGATCCCTAATACGTTTGCAGTGTTTCGAGTTGACGCGAAGCATCACTTGATGTCTCTCGCCGCTAAGTTGGCACCTTCTCCTGATTGGATCGTGGGAGTCTCTGCTCTAGAGTTATGCAACGCTAATTGCACGTGGAGCAGATCTGCCACTATACCTCTGTACCCTTATGATGCCGGAACTGATAATGGCGTAACTTATACGGTAAGAAACCACTTATGAATTATTCAAGCTTGAGACAATTTATAAGCAATATTTGATATGATTTATCAGATTTGAAAAGATGTTTGGAGATTTTGCGCTTTATTCAGTTTGGTGTTTTCGTTGTCAGTCTCATCGCAATCCTACGATCCCGGCAACACCGGTTCGTGCTTTAAGGCCAGATTGGCCTCGCGATGCTCGGTCTCCTTTCTACAGCACCAATGGTGAAATGAGACCCTTTG